TAAGGAGGTTGGTTATATCACCACCCTGAGTAACCATTAATTAGCACATGCGTGTTCCAAGGTTGAGTAGGTTTGCTTGCCCGTGCTAACATGGTGAAAAACCAGCCTGACTTGCCAATACTAGACATTCATTTAAGAAATGGCTACGGCTATTGGTAAACCAACATGATTTAATAAATTGTTTCTAGATGGTCTACTTTACGTGACAACAGGTTTCTACATATGCTATATACTTATTTAGTGCGTGGCTTGTTGTATTTAGCAAATGGTTTCTAGTATCTAGCAAATGGCTTACACTATTTAAGAGACGGTTTTCAGAATTTAGCAAATGGTTTCTAGAAATTTTCAGGAATGTTTAGGAGAACTTAAGAATATTCAGGACATAGTTTCTAGAATTTAGGAATATTTAGGAAATCGTTTGTTGAATGAGGAATCTTTAGGAAATAGCTTCTAGATTTTAGGAATATTTAGGAAATAGTTTCTAGATTTTAGGAATATTTAGGAAATAGTTTCTAGATTTTAGGAATATATAGGAAATAGTTTCTAGAATGTAGGAATATTTAGGAAATAGTTTCTAGAATGTAGGAATATTTAGGAAATAGTTTCTAGAATTTAGCAAATGGTTTCTACCTGTGCAAGAAATAGTTTCTGGATTTTACAGAAATGGCAAATAAAGAAGCCAACGCACTTCACAATGTATATATATATATTCATTCTATAATATAAATATATATATATAATATATTTTTTTGAATAAATCTAGTTATTAAAATGTCGTGTATTATATTATAAGAACAATAATTGCTTTACTTCGAGTTATCCCCACCATGACATCTATACGTTTTGTTACTGGCAAATCTTCTGGCATTCTATCTGACGTATCTTCTCGCATTTTCTCTGGCATATCTTCTGGCATTCTATCTGGCATATCTTCTGGCAATCTACCTGGCATATCTTCTGCAATATGTTCTGGCATATCTTCTGGCACTCTATCTGGCATGTCTTCTGGCATATCTTCTGGCATTCTATCTGGTATATCTTCTGACATTCTATCTGGCATTCTATCTGGCAAATCTTCTGGCGTTCTATCTGGCAAACATTCTGGCATTTTATCTGACATTCTATCTGGCATACCTTCTGGCACTCTATCTGGCATATCTTCTGGCAAATCTTCTGACATTCGACCTGGCATATCCTGCAATATGTTCTGGCATATCTTCTGGCATTCTATCTGGCATATCTTCTGGCATATCTTCTGACATTCTATCTGGCATTCTATCTGGCAAATCTTCTGGCGTTCTATCTGGCAAACATTCTGGCACTTTATCTGGCATACCTTCTGGCATTTTATCTGACATTCTATCTGGCATACCTTCTGGCATTCTATTTGGCATATCTTCTGGCATTCTATCTGGCAAACCTTCTGGCACTTTATCTGGCATATCTTCTGGCATTTTTTCTGACACTCTATCTGGCGTTCTATCTGGCATATCTTCTGGCATTCTATCTGGCTGTTGAGGTCCAGCGGTGCTCACTGAGCTCGGAGGGTCCCAGGTTGAGGCCCAGCCCTGCTCACTGAGCTCGGACGGTCCCAGGTTAAGGTCCAGCGGTGCTCACTGAGCTCGGAAGTTCCCAGGTTGATGTCCAGCGGTGCCCAGTGCGCTCAGACCCTTGCAGTTGAGGTCCAGCAGTGCCCGCTGCGTGCAGAAGTTGGCGAAGAGCTTGGCGAAGAGTTGGCAAGGCGGAAGTGAACATGGAAGTGGAGGCAGAGGTGGTGGAGGAGAAGGAGGAGGAGGAAGAGGAGGAGAAGAAGAAGGAGAAGAACAACTTTGATAAAATCTAACAACCCTCACCTGGCAAGTGGGGAAATATTTTATTCAAACTAAGTCTAGCATATTTATATATACATAGATTTGTATGTACTATATGAATATATATATATATGTATATAATATATGTCTATATCATATATATATATTATTTTGTTATATATACATTATATTATATATATATATAAATATATATATATATATGCATCGTTTCTGGGGCTAAGCCCTTTGCAGTCAAGTGGCTGCCACCGACGGCTGAGGAGAGACCATGGGCGCCATGTTGCCATCGGCTTTGGGCTCTGAGAGCAGGCGCCGATCCTGGCTGGGCTGGAACTAACTGATAATATTCAATTGATCTCTATCCGATCATACTTTTCCATTTGTTGGTGTTCAGTGTTTTTTTGCTAAGTCACGTCCAAGCCAAGTTGGTTGTCAGGGTACTCAAAGGAAAGCTGTCGTTTGGCAGGGGTCTCTGGTGTTCCCGACATCGCCGTGTCTGCCAGAAAGTCCACATCAAAGTCATAATTCGGGCTCATAATCGGGTACGGCAAACCATCAGACACGCAGGCCCAATCATCACTGGACCTGATGCATTCACACTGAAAAAAGATAATATTTTTGAGTTTGCCTTGATATTCCTGTGTCATGGAAGCCCATTCCTCTTAATTTCAAGATCAAGGGACTTCACACCCTGATCCTCCATGAGATCAACTGCCGCCCGGGCCGAATTCAAAGAATCAATGGCAAACTGGAATGGGATAGGTGCCTCCTGGCCAGGCAATGTTTTGCATTATTTCCCCAATGCTTTCCAGTGCTAACATTGACAGCATCGAAATGTATGTCCCCGCCTCATCTTTCTTTCGGCTCTTTCCAGCTGGTTTCTTTTGGGTGGCACGGGAAGCTGGACGTTTCTTGGGGTTTTTGCCAGCTAAGTCCAAAGGAATACCATCGTCATCTACTCCTCCACTTTCCCCATCTTCATCACTATCATCATCACCCTTACCACCAAGGGGTGCATGATCCGCATCACTTTCATCAGGGACTTCCTCATTCTCAGATTTCTTTTTTCTGGACCCCTTACCGGTTTTGGGTTTCGGTTTGAAAGCAGGTTTCTTGTATACAGTCTGATTTTCGACAGAAGATTCATCTGATGTCGAAACCCGGGGAGGCAAAGGATGAGACGAAATAGCACCTGGACCTGCCACATAAATCAAGTATTTATATTGAACATTTTTTGGTCAATCTGTCAGTTCATGCGCTTTCAAACCACGCCTCCCGCGCTGCCTGCAGATGGGGCCGAAGCTCGCGCTTTTGCCGAAGCAGGTGGGACTGTAGTCGATGTCCGGGCTGGGGTCATAGCTGCCGGTGACTGAAGCAAATCCCGAAGGTTGAAGGCCTTAGATAAAGTTGGCCATCATGATGGTAGAGGGGTAAAATAGGCCAGGAACGCATTGATATGGATCTTTGTGGTGTTCTCATTCTGAACTGAAAAAAGTTGCTATATGATCAATCAATGGACAGGTGCGCGAAAAGAGTTTGTCAACGGAACTTCTTCCACACTATCATCATCATCACTTCTTGGCGGGTCAGCCATAGGACCAAGTTGCTGAGCACCCTCTTGGCTCAGCACTAACTAAGAGGAAAAAGCTGCAAGTTCTAAATCAGGCTCATCATGGTGCCAAAAATAGATCAACATTCACTTGACTTTTTTTTACTGCATCGCATCGGTGCTTGACTTGACATCAGAGATAGAGGGCTGGTTGGTTTTCAATTTTTCCCACTGCAAGTTCTCAACCCGCACCTGGACAGCCAGGTGTTTGCGCCACACATGTTTACACAGTGGCTTTCGAAGGCACGTCATGGGCTGCATCATCAGACCAAAGAAGCAATTTCACCAGTCGGTGGTTGTTTGGTTTTGACGGCAGTTTGACTGCAGACCTGAAAACCCATGACTATCCGTAGTAAAAGTCAACGAGACCCACATAGAAAAGACCAGTATAACATTCCAGTGAACATGGGACACAGTTGAGCCATCCAATTCTTTTCTTGGTCCATGTTTGGATCTCTTTCTCAGCCAAAAAAGGATTGACGGACACAGGATAAATGATTCATGCCAACAATTGGGGCACATTCCACCACATCCCACAAGAGTCCGTGGCTTGATTCAAACCAGTTGGGCCCTTCACATCAAACGGATGGTGGAATCAGAGATATCCAGGTTGCCAGCCAAGCAAAGCACGGGTCTGATTGGCACCAAGATTTTGGATCCCGAAGAGCTGGAGGAATTGGACGAATCCAGCCTGAGTCCAGCCAAGGACAATAACCAAAATCATGCTGGTAACAAAATTCAGATTCAATGATCCCTAAGTTCTTAACATGTTTCCAACCATTCCATTTTTTCTTTAAACTGTATGAAAAGCTTTGATCCAACGTTTGCCACCTCCAATCATCAGCTCTCTACAGGCTAGCAGCCGGCAGCGCCATGCAGTGACCAAAGAAGGTGCCGACTTGAGTTTGCTAATGTTCACGATACTCCCAAAATTCTTGCTGGTCAATGCGGGATTTTTCTTCGACTTCTTTCCTTTTTTGGGAGCCTCAGAAAAATCCTTAGCTTCATCCAGGAGGAATGCTAAGGATTTGACTTTCTTGAAGTCACCGTCGGATGTCTTCTGGTGATGGCTCACCTCAATTTTCACCTGCAGTTTCATGTTCGGGGCAAGAAAGGTTTTTCAAAAGCGACTGCAGTGACTCTTGACTCTGAGAACTCCAAATAAGGCGAAGGAAAACAATATTATAATTTTAACAATTACTATAACTATAGATATATATATATATATATAATGTATTATATATGATATATATATATATATAGTATTTAATTATTATACATCCTTTGCTGTCTTATGTCAAGCTGCCTCACCCATATCCTCAAGGTCAGCAAGAATGCTCTCCAGTGTCACAGCGGCGTCCAAATTCTCGATGCCCCGCACATGTTCTGGACAATTCTTGCTCTCTAAGATGATCAGGGTGTTGCGGTCGACATGGAATGCAAACCAACGTCCCTCTGGCGACGATGTAATTTCATCAGATTCCTAAATGCGCTGAGATGGGGTGGAGGCAAAACCACCCTGCAAAAATTGTGCTTGTGATACCCTTGGCCATGTGATTCAATCAACAATTTGTATCTAGGCAAGGTGCTGCTCCATCCCTCCACTCTCCTCCCCCATAGCTGAACCTAAGTAGGATCACAGTGCTTTGAGTTTGAGGAAAGAACCTAAGTAGAAGCTAGGCAACAACTGCGAAGCCAAGCATCAAGTCACGTTTGTCAAGGAATTGGATCTAGGCAACAACTGTAAAGCCAAGTAACATCTCTCGCTTGTCAAAGAACTGGTTCGTGCCACGCGATGTGACGAACAAGTGCTCGCCAGAATCGCCGCAAACAATGAGATCGCAGGTGTTGTTCAGCTGAATGACCTTCCTCAGGGCAAGGGCATCGGCAAGATTAGTTTCGTTTGCCCCAATATCTATAGATCCCAACTAAGAAAACAGCGCCTTATGTTTCCAAGATAATCTTTGACAGGTCAAAGCTATGTAACAGTAAATTTCATAAATATAACCTTTGACGACAAACTCAGAGCAGAACACAACACACTAATGTTTTTCCAGATGATATTTGACAGGTCACACATGGGGTCACACCGAACTAATGGAGAAAGAAGGTCACACATGGGTCACACCTAAGTAAGAATTCATATTTCCATATAATATATTTCCAAGACAATCTTTGACGAGTCACGGATTCGGAAGCTTGGAAACATCCTCGCCAGCGATTTTCTCCACTTTGATCTTCTTGGCAGGTGGCTCTTTGACCTCGCCATCATCGGCATCGCTGCCCCTTGGCCTGCGCTTGGAGGGAAGGCAAATGCTGATGAAAGGCCGCTTCCAATAGACAGTGAAAACCCTAGATACCTAAAAAGTAAGACAGAGTCATTTAGAGTTCTGACACTACGGTTTGAATGGATTGAGACAGAACAGCAGTGTCCCTTTGCAATCTAGATTGACTTTCTCTAACTTCATATTTTTTGACAACACCGACCTGTCAGTCATCAGATTCCCTTCTGGATTGTATTCATCGTTGTGTGCTTTCACCATTCTCTTCGCCTCTTCACATGTCCCCTCATCTTCAAGCCATTTTCGGGCCAGCGATTCTAGCAACAGCAATTTGTCATGAACCTGGCATGTCACTCGGTATGTTTTGTTCTGTTCAAATCCCTTTTCATCCTTTAAGGCCGCGATGTGCGGGGCAAAGTCCGGGAAGCTCGGCAAAACAAGCTTGCCGGCCCTGCACTGTTCGTAGGTTCGGTTTGAGATCCTGTTCATAAGATCCTGGCCCGAACTGTCCAGAGCAATTGAAGCACAGGCAATGTGCCGCCCATCGCTGTGTTCCTGAAGATTGAAATTGAGGATGGCTGGATCAAAATTATTCATTTTGGCATGCAACAAAATTATAAGGGGTTCTGGCTGAGGGGTAACAATCGATTGTCTAAAACTGGTGGAGATGAAACCGTGTGCATCCCTCATGATAATATAATAAATATTATTGAAATGGCCAAAATACCTCAAGAATTCTTATGCACCCATAGTCCCGGATTATCCAAGAACACCAGCGTGTCCTCCCGAGGTTGATCCAAGCATCTTCCAGCGTCGCCAAAGCAGGCGAGGCATCGTAAGCCAAAACATCTATCAAAATAGTTGCCTTGACAGTGGCCGGCCTGAATGCCTCCATGGACTTTCTAACGAAGTCAGTGCCCGCAGCGACCTTTGGCTTGGGCAATGAAGATAAATCAGATAAGAAAGAGCTCATAAAACCATTCACCATAATCATAGCTGAGAGGGATTACAGGCCAAGACGCCTGCTTCAACTCCTGGACATCAGTAAACGCCCTTCCCAGGTGCGGCATATTTGACCTGCCTGGTGTGTCCTTGGTAGGCATGGCTGGGCAAATGTTTCTGAAATGATTTTAGAAACCATACGGGAAGGCACCACCAAGATGATGTTGTAAACATTGATCAGAAGAGAAGCAGTAACACGACGACTAAATAGTCAAAGGTTCCGGTTTGAACATGTCCTGACGACTGACCATCTGGACCCCGTGGATGCAGCCTGTGCGCCATCCACGGGTGTTCAGAAAAATCGACCGAGAGCCTTTACGAATCAAAGCCAGGCCAGTCAAAGCTCCATCCCTTTTTCCATACACACTGTCCTTGGATTCAAATCAAAGTGGTTGAAACATAATCTTTAGGAAATTGAAAGTCAAAAGACATGTCCCTAATGCCTAATTTTTTCATAGCGCCGTGCACTGGATGGGTGCAAGCTAAGCATGATCAGTGCGACCCCAATGCGCCAGGAAACAGGGTCAAAAACCCAAGTGATGGGTCTGATCCTCAGCTGCCGCTCTTTCATGCTCAGATCTTTCCTCAGCAGGGTCTCAAGAATTGCCCCGGTAAGGGTTTTCAAAAGTATATTATATATATATGTTTACCGGGGTGGGGTACATGTGCTCCTATCCTTTTATCATCCCTTAGGTGGGGTATAAAGAACTTGTATGGCCATTTGAATCCAAAATGAACGCTGCAAATTTGCAATTTGGGAAATCTAGATTCTCCAGCTTGTACTGAACATCGCGGACCTGAACTTCTTCTCCATCTTTCCTAGATTTGGTTGGTTCATCTTCATCTTCATCATCCGACTCATTTTTTTTCACCTCCTCTTTGATTCCATCTTCCATCTCACCGTCCTCTGCCTTGGCTCCCGCTGGCTTCCTATCACAGGGAGATGGAATGATAATGGTTGGAACATGTGTGACCTCAGTAAACTTACTTGCATGTAAGAAATCATATTATTTAGCGGGTCAAAGTTTGACACACCTGTCCTGCACTCCTGTCCATTGGCCCTGTTCGGGTGAACCAGCAAGGCAAGAGAGTTGTCAGGAAAATCTGCCAGGCAGTTTGTGATAAAGCTAATCAGGAAAGATTTGGCATTCGCCCCGAGGATCCCTGCACCGGGACAGTTGATCATGAGGATCACACAGTGATCGTCGGGAGCTCCCCCCAGTTCAGTGGCTGCACCGCGCGCCCACTGACGCACCTGAGGCATGGTGGTTGATTCCGAATCTACCATCTTGCCCCCAAAGATCGTCATGTTCTCCTTCAGGAAGGTTCCGACGGCAGCCCAAGCTCGCGAGTGGCAGTCCTGATACATACAATAAATGGTCATTGGAATGTCTTATAAGAATAGGGGATCCCGAAACTTTATGTTTTAGTTAGGTATTAGAGAATAAAAAGTTTGGGGATCCCCTATGTTGAGACATTCCCAAATAGATTCTTAATTGGATGGTAGGGTCGGTGTGATTGGCACAGCTCAATTGGTCCTCCAGCTGTTGGACCAGCTTTGTGCGTACTTTGGCAGCTTCTTTCTCTGCCCTTAATTGCCGAAGAAATCATTGATGAAACTTGATCATTGTTGATCACTGAAAAAAACTGAAGCTTGATCGCTGTTAATTGTTGATTGGTACTACTTGGATAGGAACCTGCACATCTTCCTGAGCCAGGTCACAAGAGCTTCTCCGAGACAAATTGCGCCTGATCGGCCTTGAGATCCTCGCACCACGAGTTGAAGGCCGCTTGAACACTCTTTGCCAGAGCATTGCGGCTGCGGTCTTGGTGGGTGGCCACGTAGTCATGTACTGCTTGGCCCTGTGCCTGATCAAGGATTTCCCTGAAACTGGATTGACACATAACTATGGCCCAAGTTCTGTTCTTACATGAATGTTTTTTGCCAGGAAGACCCAGCTAATGTGTTCAATCGGTATGAAAATCATATTGGTCCAAGATGGAAACTGACAAATTTCCGATATCTGATCAGTATGGGGCCTCCAGGACAAAGGGCAGTCTGGTAGGATCAAAGCTAGGGTCAGCAGCTTTCATAGCGGCAGACAAGTCTCCATCTAAATGCCTCAAAGCGACCAAAGCTGCAGAACTTGGGGTGTTTACTTTTTGGTTTGGATGAAACGGAAAGCAAACACCGTTGTTATATCAAAACTATCAGGTCCATTGGATATCACGAAGCGACATTACAGAACATGTTTCTTTTTTAAAAACAATATAATATGCAATATCATCAGGATATGATATCATGATGTTACTGTCCCTATTTCCTAGATCCTTATAGAAAAAAACAAACTATCCCTTGGTTAGTGAATTTTAGACCGGGAATGGGGTTGGAACAAAATCTATAAAAAACACATCAAACTTGGAAGCTGAAAATTAACTTCTCGGGGTGACGCGGTTTCTGGAAACCACATCACAAAATGCTGGTTATGGTAGCTACACATCACACTCCCAAGTTGGATTTCCAACCCCCACCCATGACGCCTACCCTGGAAATCCTAGTTTTTGCGACGCGGTTTCTGGGAACTACATCACACTTGGTGCCTTATTTCGGTAAGTTGGGTGTGATTCGTTTTTTGTAGAAAATCAAAGGATCTGGACGAATCACCAAGATCCAGTTTTTTCCCAGATTGCGACGCGTTTTCTGGGAACTGCACGATTTTTTCCCCTGTTTGGACAAGACTTTTTGCAAACACATCATCGTATCACCCTTGTAGACAAAAAAAATCGCTGACCAATCACATTTCCACTTCATGAGACAAAAAGATTTGCCAAGAGACCCATCCAGGAACATACCATCATACTTTTCCATGACTTTGTCCGTGAACATGGTGGTCATCTTTTCCCGCACCCAGATCCATGCGCAGCACACATCATGGAGTTCAATGTGTTCATCTTCGCCCAATTGGGCTTGTTTCTGCGCAGCAGGGGCACAAGCACTAACATCAATCCACACACTCTTTTTCATGTCTTAATTTCATTGAAATTAATCAATGCCCGTCCTTGGCTTTCGATGTTGCCTCCTTGGATGCCTTTCGACAAAAGTCCTGGAAGGCACAGGCAACCCCTCTATGACCCTCTAGATGTTACTGTTTTGCAAGTAGATGCTGAGTTTTCGATTTTAGTCCTGGAATACCCTCTGGAAGTAGAGCATCAAAGTTTCGTTGCTCGTCGTCAGAATCTCACCAAACACCTCTTTTCCTTTGTACCTTTCGGATTCCTTCCTTGTGCATGAGCCAGGCACATAGAAGTCGTTGATCAGGATGTCATGTGGGAGTCCTTCAGGACCCGAATGGGCGCTGGATGGGAGGTAGTCATCTCATGATCATGTCGACTTTGACAACCAACAGTAGGCAAGATCAACATTTTCCTGAAGTTTCATGACGGTAAGAATCGTAATGGGCGTGCAGCAGACGAAGTGCATCTTCAGGGATTCTGAGCCTGGGGTGATGGGCAAGATTGCGCCTGTTAGTTTCTATATGTGAGGCCCCCAAGATAGCTAAGTTGGTCTATAACTAACTTTATGGTACTTATAAGTATAGTTACTGGGGGTTATAAACCAACTTATAACTTATAACTGGGGGGCCTCACATTGTAGTTTGAGTAACAGTGAGTACATGTGGCTAAATGCTGATAAATGACAGGTTATAGATCAAAGCTCGGCGATGGGAATCAATTTTGTGTCGCCGATTGGTGCACAGGCGATTGTACTCTGCCACAGTCTTTTGGAGAAGATCCCGCAAGGCCTGCCGCCCCCCAGCCCGGGTCACCTTCTTCTCAAGCTCGATTGCTGATTTGATGTCTGCCATCAACGAGATCGGTGACGGGACTTGTTTCTCCGCGGTCACCCATTGGGTTTCGTAGGTATGATTCATGGATGGCTAACCCTGGGCAGAAATCAGTTTTGAGAAAATCTGAATCAAATCCAAACATTAAAAGTTATATCAACATGAGGCAAGCTTCTCAGGCTGTGGAGGAAATGGTCTCTCGGGTTTTCAAAGTAAATGTAGCTACACCTGATTGACCTGAAGCTACTGAGCACCATTTTCAAGGACCCATCATCACGTGACATGTCGATCTCTAGCTCCTTGATGAAGCCAACAATTGCCAACATAATGATGGCCTTGCACATTCCATCATCATAGCCAACAGTAAAGACATCAATCTTTCGATCAGCTTTGGCACAAGGAAATCGAACTTCAATGTTTCCGAGGGCTGGCTTGTACCCCCATGTCAGAAACTCGAAGAAGTGGGCTTCGTACTGGACGTTGGATGGAAAGTCTGCAGGGAACATTTGGATAAAAGTTGACCATTAACATCAGAACATATTAACTTCACAGTAACTATTTATGTCGAACATCCAGTTTTGACAAACCCTGGCATCCATTCTTGGCATTCACTGAGTAAGAAAATGCCGACAAAGGAAGGTAGAACTCATCCGTGGATTCCAGGGGCACCAGTTGTGTGTGTGGCTTCGAAGGTGGCACAGACTCTACCATGACATACTCATTGATTGCCTGGCTGAGGACAATCAGTTTGTTGTTGAAATATTATTCATGATTTTAATTTGTTGATGATGTGGTGTATTTGCAATATTATGCAATCAAGATACCGATTCCATTCTCTCCCGGTCGCCGAACACCTCATTGAGATGGACACCAAGATTCTTTTGCCCAATGACCTCAGTCAGGCACGCGCTCGAGATGGATATGGTTTTGGAGCATGAACTTAAGGCAGGACCGATTTACAGGTTGATATTCATTGACAGGGTTGCTTGAACCGGGGAACTGTTCTGAAGTAGGCCTTGATCTCATCAATAGGCCCCGTTCCAACTGGCTTTTCATCATCCGACATACCAGCTCGAGGATCAGGGCTCGCCAGTCAGGGCTCCCAACTAGCACTGGAAACCAAATGCTGAAGATCAATTTCATAAAACAAATCCGAGTGGTGTCAAGTGGTGATTGAGAAGCTGCAGGAAAGACATTTTGCCATGCTTTCCCCTCGCATGTTTAACGGTTGCGGTGAAATCTGACCTGAAGTTCATGGGGTTTGGGCGCTTGTGGCCGTGCGCCCAGTTCAGGAGGTAAACGTTGTTGGTTCTGTTGGTGTGCCCGCTGAAGAAACGTGAGTTTGGGAACCCTTTGACCACTAGGATCGCCACGCAGCATGCTCTCATAGAAAGCCAAACCCCTTCGCATATGCGGAAAGTCACGCTTCAAGGCCATATAGATTGCCTGAAGCTCATCATGTCTTTCACGATCCCTTTTTGCTGTGACCACAGGGCAAGACTCATGATTTGCTTTCTCCAGACACCGTTCAGAATCCCTTAGCAGCATCCCTGGCATAACCAGCAAGGGGTCTTGTGATAAAGAAGAGGCTGCCATGGTTTCTTTGACCATCACAAACACATCAGAGTCAGCAATGTCCATGTCAGTTGTGCGCAAAGCACGTGGAACCCGGTCACTAACTTGCAGACCCTGGCCACGTCGTGGCATCACCCCCCTCCTCATGAAGGTGAAGCTTTGTGGAACAGGAGCTTGATCCTCACCTCGCGCCCTGTAGCAATTCTTCAAGCTAATGCTAGCAGGCAAGATAGCAGTCCATTCTCTGACCTCAGGCATGAAAAGAAATGAGATATCAAAAAATTGAAAGGAGTTGCAGGGAGGGGTGATGTGAACAAGCTTACAAACAGCTGCTGAATCCTGGTAACGAGCAACAACTTCAACAATCTCGATGTCAAAATCCAAACCCCTCTTTGTGAAGACAGGCCCAACACGCTGCAGGATCAAACGCTGAAGATCGCGAGGTGTTTCTATGTTTTGGGCTGTTCTGAGGGCATTCGTGCAAATTGAGAATACAGCATCCACGTCCTCATGCGTGTGGCCTACTCTCAAGTGTGCATGGGACGTTGTGTTGAAACTTCTGGTTTGCGTCAAAGCAATCATCAGTTTCGATCCGTACTGGTTACGAACCTCCTTGACCGTGTTGTCCGATTGTAACCAGCACCTGAGCCAACTACTAATTAGCACCCATCATCTCTACCAGTCTCTAGCTGTGTTCACAGCACAATGATTTGGATTTCGACATCTAGACTGTTGAAACCTTGGAACCCTGGACCCTTGAGCTATTGATTGTTTTTAAGTTGTTTACAGGTATGGGATACCAAGTTGCTTTGATACCAAGTTGCTCTGAAGGGAACAATTTGTTCTGACGACGGCAGCGAATCCAAATCTTCTCAAGCACTCGCATGACCTCAAAGGAAACTTTACGTGACATACTTATTATAGCACCACGTCAAAGACGGTATCTAGGCAAACCCAAGATGTTGGTTGGTCGGAGAACTGCAGTCAAGAAGCACATTCAAGGTTCCAATTGGAACCGCATGGCGTTCCATCAGATCCTGAAAGGTACATGTAGCACCCATGTCCATGTGCAAGTACCGCTGTGAGAGTGAAGGCGGCACCTCAGGCAATTAAGGATGCGGAACCAAACTGCTGAGAAAGAAGGAAAAACTTAGACTAGTAATACTACTATTTGGACAAAGTATCAAAGCTTTAAATAAATGAAGCCTGAAGTCGGTGACATGTTTCATACACCGTTCGCTTTGGCGTTCTATTCAAGGGAAATTTTGGCAGAAACAGCTTTGATTTGTCAAAAGAGTCGATGTTCAAGCATACCAGATCCCCCTCCAGAATCGCTCTGTCTCTGGCCGCCCAATAAACACGGCGATCCAACCACTGGCCATGGTAGTGTTCAAGTAACTGGTTGCACAAGGACGCGTGCTCACTGAAGTCCTGATTCTGCCACATGGATCATGGGAAATGACTGTTCTTTACTACTCAGTATTGTGGGAATTGAATGAAAACTCATTTGAAAAAAAAACAAACCTTTGATACCTTGCAAGAAAGATGCGGTTGAAGCCCGGATAGCTGCTTTAAGTGTCTGGCATTGCAGGCACATGGAGTGCTCAGAGGGGTGCCTAAATTTTAAGGCTGCTTTCCAACTTTTGGCAACACAGAAAAATGTGCTCTTGGATGCTGGCTGCTGTCCAGAGGGCCGAACATAACCCAAGTACATTAAATACAAGCTTGAAACGTTCCCGGGCGGTAAGTCCCGCATTGGCAAAGACTTTGGGTCCATGTCAAACACCTGGTGGGTGGGGCTAATCAGCATGCGGTCCATCAACTTCACCAAAAGCTCCTCGCGCAGATCTGCATCGGTCTTGGTCTTTCCAGATGTTTCTGCAGACTCAAACCTTGGCTTAGCACGGCTTAGTCACACCCCTGCAAAGGCCTACTATGTTACCATAAGAAAGACGAATGACATGCTGAAATTAAAATGCAATGCTCCGTTGAATTGAGATACTTGGTTGGCATGCTCTCGCCAGCTGTGTAGTAGAGATGACAAAAGAAAGCATGTACCGAAGAGCTTTGGTTGGCTGCGTGTGCTGTTGCACCTGGGCTAAGCGTAGCAGCTTGTTAGAAATTTACCTACACTACTGGACTGGATTGGAATGGATGAAGTTTCACTGAAAGCTAGTTGCTGACATGAGTCTTTGGTTGAGCGTCCTTTCATCGATACCACGGAAACGTTTCCCAGTACGTTGCATTCTCCCCTTCCCAATGCCAAGAAATCGGAGCCAAGCAGTTTTGCAGAGTTCATGTCCTGAAAAGGAGCTAGTTACAAATCAGCCAGGCTACATGGATGGGATATTGTAAAGCAGGGTCATTGTCACGATTCTTGAAATCACTGCATTACCCTTACCCCAAGAGTCCTTCAATAGACCACTTCGTCTTCCGACCACTAGACTGTTGAAGACTCCAGAGACATGCATCTTGATGTTCTTTTCCTAGCTGCCAAAACGATTGACAGGCCCGGTACAAGATCTTGCACGGCATTCGGCACCCACAGTCGCAAGGTGGGTTTTTCAACACTTCCTTTATCCTTTCGGGATCCATTCCATTGGATGCGAAGACTGACTGGTTGGGGTCTTCGTTCAAAGTATGTAGGGAACTGAGGTTACTGATTCTCAAGTCAACAGCTGAAGTTTTGATTTCAGAGCGGTCACTCCCAGAGCAATCATCACTGCTCTCATCACTGCACTGACCATTCCTCGGTAGACGGGTTGTTTTAGTGGCAAATGAATCCTGAATTCATGAGACAATTTTAGAAGTGGCTGCATGAATGGCCAAGCATCTCTGAGGAACAATGCTGCGATTCAGAGGTCTCATCATACCTCCACCTGCATCCTTGTCTGGCAGGCCCACGGATTACCAGTTCATCTTTGTGCTCATCATAGCGGCCCAGGATGCCCATCAGGCCGTTGATGGGAGGGAGTGGAGCATTAATCAATTTGACATTAAAAGAATAGGTCTTCCAAGATAAAGTTCTATCCATATGCCATGAAGTAAGATGGACCATCACACGACATTGGATTCGGATTTCATTGCAATTTCCTTTGTCGTTTACTTCCATCCTATGTTTTACTGTACAGAGCCTGAATATGTGATCGAAAGTGCAAGGCCATGCACTATGCAAAAAGCAGAGTTCCTTGAAACACCCATCATTTGATCCACAGCATTGCTCCTCAGTCTTTTCAAGCTAGCCACGTTTGATTTGAGTTGCAGCTAAATTTGGCATCTAATTTCACATGTAAAGTAAATCTACAACTTCAAGGCTTCAAGTACGCCTGAGCTAGCGTGGGGTTCACACCTCTCAGAAGTATGCAAAGTGCTGTCAGTACGGAGCGCATTGCCATTCCATTTCCTCCCATCCTGTGCAATGCCTTGGTTGGTCCCAAAATTTTGAAAATCATTTGAGTGCTTTAAATCGAAAATGATTTCGGTATGTCGGTATGTGCAATATATTATTGCAAACAAGGTCACATGATTGGAAAGTCCATCAGTGTGAAGCTCATCGATAGGCAGGCCCATCAGCAAGAGTGTTTCCAGTCCTTGGCTTTGCAGGTGTTTGGGAAGATCCCCGAAGCCAGGGCCATAGCATCCAAAATCAGCAAAGGTTCCGCTTATAAACCGTTGCTCCTTTCCAAGAAGATAGGAGCCATTGGGCCTCAGAAGCCGGATACAATTGACATATTAATATTCTAATAAATTCTTGAACCGGAACAAAAGCGTGATGGGTTGTTCTCCAAAAAGTAAGGCTCTAGCGTGAGGCACATCAGTGGACCATCATCAACTCGTGGCATACGGCCAAGCGTTTGGCTGGTGTTGATGCATAAGAACTTCTTCTTCTTGAGAATCTGTAGGTCCAATGCCTCCCAACAAATTGGCTTTACAATGTTTTCCCATGTCGTTCAACTTCAAGATTTGCAGAATGTGGCAAATCAGGTAAGCCAGCCTGAAGCACTCTCTGAGAGCAAATCTGGGCTGCAGCTTGTGGATATGCCAGTTGAAACTTCCCAGTTGCTTTGGACAGCTGCACCTGATGGGCTGCAGGGTTTTCGAATGCATTGGGACGGATTCGGATGATGGTACGTACATGGGTTATTGTTTCTGACAATTTAGGTCAACTGAAGCATGGCCTTATTCTTCTTGGCCCAATGCTTGTGGGTTTTGACCCACCTCGTGTTTTGATCAGGCCTTGGTTGGGTGTAATCCAATAATAAACGGATTGAATTCTGTGTGTTACATTGTGATGTTTATTCAAATCAAATGCCATGGTGTCGAGGTTCTTTCGGAACAACATCATCTTGACTTTCTCGTGTTGCTGTTTCCGGGACTCGACCAGCTCTTGCACCACTGGGTGTTTTTTGTCAAGAAGAAGATCATGCCTGAGCTGTCCAAAGGTAACTAATGGTACCTAGCTATTGATAAGACCCAAAGTGATTGTGGACAAAGCAGTCATGGACTCCCTATCAAACTGCAGACAGAGAGCCAAGTGCATTCCGGTTTCATGCCCAAAGCTTCGGAAATTCCAGAAGCAAATTGTGCAAAATTCTCTTTGCAACGTTTCAGCATAAGATCACGCCGGAGCAACAGCAGATAAACTCTGTTCCTAGAGATAGGAGCACCAAAGGAAAACCTTAGGACAACAAAAGAAAGGAAATCATGAAACTGGAGGCACGGCAAACAGAAGCCGAGGAACGGATCCAAGTGGAGCCAAGTGATCTCATACCTTAATGCCGGGTTGCTTAGCAATGGGGACCATGGGTATACTTTTTTCATCCCTTCTCCGTTTGGTTTGATGCAAGCTGAAATACTCCGGCAAGTTTTTTGCCAATACCTCAAGAATCTGATCTAGCACCCGCATGAAGCCGATCACATTCTCAAGCAACCCGGCCTAGATGGCAAGGTGTTCATTGGGATTCCCCAAGTAAGTAATACTTACTTGGGATGTCTGAATGAGCCTCCTCAGTCAGTTTCAGTGTACAGTAAGCATAGAACTATTGGGACAAGCCGCCACGGGTTGCAACAACTTGAGTCGCCGGATTACTTCAAAAAGTTGGGCAGCTTCTGAATCTCCAAGTAATGCCGAATCTCCATGTAGTACCGAGAAGGGTGTGCAGGGAAATCCCGCTGCATATAAAAAGGCCTCCCATGGGGGAGACATGATTAGACTACATCCTACATACATTCATGTCTTGTTTTCTGAA